TATTAAAAGATGTGTCAAAATTGGCTTTTTACACAGAGTTCCCAGCAAACAAAAACAGAAGACTTCTTCTTTACAATCTAGATGGTCTGGTTGAAGTCATGCAGATTTCACTGATGTCCTTTGCAGTGAAGTGTACTGTTTTGTCTTGTCTCACACATGTAAACCAACGTTTTAGATTGACTGATACACAGAATCACACGAGGACAGACAGCTCATTGTTTCCCCCCCATTCACAGGGTCTCTGGTTCTGATATAATCCTGATTTGTTAATTAGATCCTTTGCATAACTTTGTGTTATGTATAAAGGTTATGCCAGAGATGGCGTTGGTGAAAGCATCTGGGAAGCTCGGATGTCTTCTTTTAATGTGATCCTGTATGTTATCCACCATCAATGCAACATGCAATGCAATTAATGCAAAAATATGTTTAAATCTGGAATGAAAATTAAACAGGCTTACCTGCTGCTCTGTAAAGAATCTTGGGCTCAAAGAATATACATGGGTTGTTATCAGCAATGCATGAAAGCAGCAGCCCTTTAGCCTGCGTCGGACCACGAGGTATTACAATCTGAGGAGAAAATAACAAATGACATTTAAACTCTATAAAAATTAAATACAAAAGCAAACTTCTATTTTGATTTGTTGAGTGTAAATATCCTAAATGTGACGTTACTGAAAAAGCTTTCCGCATTAAAACAGTGACCTGATAACAGCAATTATGATGAACAGCAGTACAGCAAATGTAACTGGATCCATAAACACATTTTCCTCTTCTGATATTTATTGGTCTTAAGTTTCTTCCAAAAATCCTCATAAACCCGCATATAAGCTTCTGCCTTGTCCTGAAGTTAAACTTTTATCACCTTCTGTTCTCTCTGCTATAATTGTGAGGTTATATTCAGACAGGAAACCCTATAATGAAAAGAGAGGGAGAAATGGATTGGTTCTTGATAAGCTTTGTGTCAAATGGAGGAACTATTAATGATAGCGTGCATGAGGATTAGCATTCAGCTGTATGACCTTTGCAGAGTAACATAATAGCTGCTGCTCCCTCAGTAACAGGCAGGTCTATAATCCATTTTCTGTGCAGATCTGTAAGGTGAAACTGAAAGGAAACAATTCTGATATTAACCATCAGTCTTTATTGGGTTTAAATTCTTTTAATAAAGTAGGGTAGAAAAGTTGGGTTGGTGAAACTAACATAAGTCATTACTTTTAAATTAGAGGCACTATTCTATTCTATGTGAAAGTCTCCTAACATGTTGCGTGACTTTACAGTGACATCTTAGACAGAGATGATTCATATCTCTGGATAATGATTTTTCTTTAGCCAACAACTCTCTGAACTGACAAACAACAAGCCAGTTCTCATAATAATTTGCCTGCTTAGAAACTTCTCAGTGTTGCTTTGTAAATATTTTGATTTCCCCTGTCCTGTTTAAGCGACATGTGTGACTGTCTACGATTCTCTGAATCAGCCAAAGGGAAAACACTAAGACATTCTGTAGAAGACTCTCTCTTGTAAAGGATTAGTTTAGTAGATCCAGGAACCTGCTCCAGACGTTGTTTTTAATTATTTTTTATATACCGTATTTTTTGGACTATACGTCGCTGCGGAGTTTAAGTCGCATCAGCTAAAAAATGCATTATCAAGACGAAAAAAAACATATATAAATCACACCGGACTAAAAGTTGCACCTTTTTGAAGGATTATTCTATCCATGGAATCGGTGTTCTGATATCTGCCGCGTGGTAGGCTACTGCTCGAAGACGGCATTGTTTTATTTCATGAATGAGCATCTAAGAAGCAGTGATAATGCGCCAGTATCCTACTCTGATTGTTTTTAGATATCACAGTTCTCTGTACAGCTCTTCCTCTGGATGTGGTCATCTAGCCTTTAGCCCTCGGTTAGCTTTTCTTTTTTTTTTCATAACCTTCAACTGTTCCTCTACTTTTCTCTGGTTCCTAACCAGTTTTTCACTGCATCCAAACTGCCGTTCAGCTACCCTATTGACATTTTCAACTGTATATTTAATTACTTTCAGTTTGAATTCAGCAGTTTATGAATTTCTTTTGGGTGGCATATTTCTATTCATTCATCATTGTTGTAATGCTAATTTGTTTTGTTGTGGTAAGTTGTAACGTTTTTTTCCTTCAGTGGTATTAATAGAATACATGTTTTTGCATGCAAAGTTACATAGCGCCCTCTCGTGGTGATAAAAACGCATGTGTCGCAACAGAGTATAGGTCACACGGCCAGCCAAACCATTAAAAAAGTGCGACTTATAGTCCAAAAAAAAAGGCAAGAGAATTCCATAATAATCTAGCAAAAAAATTCCCTCGTGTTTTGACGCAGAGCTTTTTGTCTTGGAGATGCAAAAGTATCCTTCCCATCAACCTCATCTGTTAACTGCCAAGCAAAATTTATTTTCGCGAGATTTGAGAATGAACAAACACCCGAAAATACATCTTGCAAGCAGCTAAAGGAAAACAAACATGGCTGGCTGGTTTTAGCAAGAATGCCCTCCATTTCTTTTTTAAAACGAGCATTGGGACTTGACTTTTTAACTCTGTGGGGGGGAAGACGGTTGCAGGTTCCCCCTGACTAGATTTATCAGTTAATTTAAATAAAGGCACTACTGCTGCTCTGATTGGCCAAAAGCTCAACATGGGAGGCAGGTACCCAATCAGATTGAAGAACTGTACTGAACGTCCCTCCCTTTTCTGAACACTTCCTACATGAGGCTTCCCGGATCAAAGCCTGTATTTCAATTTGAATTCTACATGCTATCAATCTGGCTTGTGCCAACTTACCCTATCTGTAACTTCCCCCTGAGTCCCTATTAGATTCAAGTCAGACTCTTGTTGAGTCATACCAAAATGTTAATATTACTTGCATTTAAAACAAAAATATTGGTAAAAAGGGTAAAACCTAAATATGTCAGGTTGTGTACCTATTTCTGCTAGATAAACATAATTTTTTGAAGAAATTGTAGTAACATTATTGTTGATTTACAGGAGAAAACAAAACTTAATTTGGCAGCATCTCGTTTCGTCAGCGTCAGTGTAAGATATAGTTAAAGGTCACGGGAAGGTGCATCATTCAAATAGGAACAGACAAGTTTTGGCTGAACAAAACCCAGAAGTCAGCTTGAACCTGACAATAGGACATCAGCTGAGAATAAGCTGGGTTTATTGCTCTTCTCACTGAGCATCCCAGTTACTAAAATCTACATGAGATGTGGGAATCAATCAAGGGCAGAGAAAATGAATCCCATTGGAAACTAATTCTTAGTTTGCAGGGTCTAAATTCAGTGCATATGGAATACATTAACTTGGCAAACATTGCATCCAAGACCCATTTTTAGCAATTTTATGCTTATTGATACTGTGTCTGCAAATGTGATTCAATATATTGCGCAGCTCTAGCCAGTATAGTAGTCTAGTATAAATAATTTAGGCTTTACACTATTTGATTAAGAGTAATTCAAATAACACAAGACACCTCTGCCTGGCAGCTTTCCATCTGCTTCTGGGAAAAGTCATCAAATGATTGCGTTTCCATGACAATTTCTAACCAAACCCAGAATGTTGTTCAAAAGACTTTGCAATATCTTTTTTCCCCCCTTTTATTTTACCAATAATAAACGTAAAACTCACCTTAATACCAGGACAGTGGGCAAAAAAGGCTTCAGGGCTTTGAGAATGGTACAAGGAACCGTGGCCAACGCAGCCCCATGGAGCCCGAATGGTGAGGTTCCCGCAGTCAAACAGGTTCCCAGAACGGTAGCGGTACTTAGCAGCTTCATTTACAATCTGCAAACACAAGAAATTACACCAATACAACTACTGTCAATATTCACACATGTGGCTTGAGAATGTATTTTATAAAAGATGTTGCTTTTTATTATTGAGACTCTGTTAACATTTATACCGATCTCTAAAACTCTTAATAGTGACAGGAAAAAAGGCCCCAGAGTGATAATAGCACAGTGTACAACATTTCTGCACGTTGAATCAATCTGTTCAGGATCTAAAAGTCTAACCAAACATGAATTTGCTGGTGAGGTAGCACCTGTTTTCCCTTTAAAGGCTTAATGTTTGTACTTGAACTCTGCTTTTAGCAGACTATTGTGAGCTGTGAGACGAAGTGTTTTCACATGTGCAAAGTTGCTCCTGTTACCGCTCACAGGCAGTTGAGCTGGATGCCAAGAAAATCAAAGGCACTTTGGTGAGCTTCAATAAAATATACAGAGTAACAAACTGTATTAGGTTCAGTTTTGATTCAAAGATTAGGTTCCTTTCAAATAAAATGTAATTCAGTGTTTGACTTCCTAAACTTTAGTCAAATCAACTATTCTAGGTCCTACAGTATTTTGTGCTTCGTTAGCATGTCCATTTAATAAGAAATATATTCACAATGTGATATTTTTTTCTAAACAAGAGATAATATTAGCTGAAATGTCTATTTCCAGCCAAGAAAGAAGATTAAAAAGAAAAATAAAATTTTGCAGTCATCTTGCAGATTGATAGCAGTTGAAGTTTGGATGTTTTTATACATAGCCGGTTCTAGGCGGGGGCCAACAGGGGCCAGACCTGTACTTAAAACATACACTACTAAAAATTACATATAAGCGAACTTTCTTGAAAAGGATGTCTATTTAACCTCAATTTGAGCAGGTAGCTACGGGTATCTACTAATGTAATAAGATCATTTCAATATAAAATAAAAATC